TTGGTGAGAAGTTTCTAATAAGCCCTCCCAGTTCTTCTGTATACAGAACAAATCTGATATTATAATCAGAATTGCTCAGTCTGCATGAAGCAGCCGATTTCATCAAGGAAGTTCTATTAACAACCAAGAATTAATCGTTTGAGGCATACTGAAGCATTAAGAAGGTGATATGTGTCACTATAGGAAATCATCATCGTTGCAAATATAAAGAAATCAAACATAACCCTTTGCTTCAGTACCGTCAACCTCCATGTCCATGGGGAGGGTTTCCTATAAAAAAAAATCGAGAATTTGTCGAAATTTTTCCGCCAACTAAAATCACCATCAGAAAGGTTAATGTTTACCCATTCTGATGGTGTTGCTAATTAGCGTGGAAATGACGAGAGATTCGACAAATTGACGTTTGAATCATTGTTAACAAAAGCAGATACGTCTTATGGAAAAAATAATCGAGAAATATTGGTTTTAGAGCACCCTCGACGTTTCAAAAATGTTTGACCAACTTAGTTGATAGTTTTGAGCTGCTCAGCGGATAGTAATAGGTACAAGATACTTCTAACTGAATATGATTTATTGTTCTAGATAGTTAAGTGTTTCAAAGGTACACTAATAAAATTCGACACATTTTTATTAACTAATTTCCATGTAAAATTCCACATGATTTTCATGTGGCCGAACATAAACAGAATCTACTCAGAAGTACACATGAAATTTATGAGTCAAATGAATAGTATGTGTGGTTACACATGAATTTTATGTGTACACATAAGAACAATATGTATATATACATATAATTTGTTTAAACGGCGCCGGTGGTGTAGTGGTAAGCGTGATTACCTCTCACCCCAGCAGGCCTGGGTTCAATACCAGTCGGCGCCGCCGGGATGTTCTGAGGCATAACATCTCTGATCACGCCTTCCTTCGGATGGGAAGTAAAGCCGTTGGTCCCCGGTTCATGAGTTGATGGGTCGATAGGTAGGGTCCAGGTGTGGGAGCTGCCTTCCTGGCACGTCGGTAGCATTGGTGCTCAGCACGGAAAACAAGATCGACGGAAAAAACAAACCAAAGGAAAAAAAAAAAATATAATTTGTTTATCACATTGCAAAAAATCATGTGTGGGACACATAAAAATTAGCATTGAACTTTTATTAGTGTACACACTTAGAAAAAATTACCGACTTCGGTAATTCATTTACCGAATTCTCAACAGCTGAACGGTCGGTAATGTGTTCGGTAATCAAGAACATTACCGAAAAATCTGTAAACTGAATCAGCAAAACTAGCTGTCAAATTTACCGAACGATCGGTAACGTTTACCGAAAAAACAAGCTTGATTTGTAATTGATTTTACCGGAGAACTGTAATTTTGGAGTCGATATGGAAAATGAAAATTACCGAAAGATCTGTAATTTAAAAAAAAAGTTTACCGACTCAAATTTAATTCGATTTAATATTGTTTCAATGTGTTTTCTTGGTTTTATCAATTATTTAAATTAAATACATTTTTCCTTAGTCATTATTTTATTTCATTCTTACAGACACGTTTTATGTAAATAAAATAGCTCAAAACTTACACGTAGCTGGCAGTTATTGCAATCCATGCAAAAATTTTGCTCCTCTTGTGGTCAATGTGTTGATGTTGAAAACTGCTCCACCGATCAACAAAAAAAAAATTTTTTGTCGGAAGGATTCAGTGGTACACCGAAAACAGGGAAGCATTGGATGAATATCCCAAATGCTGATTTTAGATCGTCGCCAACGGGAATAGCAATGCATACCATGGATACCATGGTATCCCAGCATACTGTACATCCATCCGTCACGTCAGGGAAATTTCCTCGCACTACCAATAGTGGAATGCTTCCACTATCCTGCGGAAAATCATTTTCGGGCTAGAACAAAACATATTAATAAAGCAACTAATTTTTATTACACTATACGTCTCACCTGTATCCATTTTACAACACCTGATAGGGGATTGTTCAATACTGCGTCATCAGTCTTGCCTCGTTTGGAACCACGCGATTTTTTTTTTTAAGAAGGTCGAAAATCACAACATGGTGAATTTGACGTTTCTCGCGGTGAAAACTACCGAACTCGGTAATGGAACGGGTGGTTTACCAAAACTTCAGTAAAATATTTCACTGAAGTCAGTGATGAAGCTGATTTACAGATCTGCCGGTATTTTTTTTTACCGTTTTCGTTGAATTGAAATGAAATCACCGAAATTCGGTAATTTTATTTACAGTTTTCAGCAATAGAGCGAGAAAATACCGAAACATCTGTAATGTTTAGAATTACCGAACTAAAACGGTAATTTTTTTTACCGAACTCAGGATCTCTGTTTAAGTGTGTAGGGAACAAACATTAACACCTAAATATCACCTTGATAAACATTTCCTCTTCCATCATATATATATATTAACAAAAAGCCCAATTAATTTCCTTAAACTATGCTGTTCACAGTTTTTCAATCATACGCATGAGTTAAGATATAATTAATTATGAGTAAGAGCCCCATATACGGCTAGCTAGTTTAGCTAATTAATTATATCTTAAATTAATGTCCTGTTATGATGTCTAATTATTATTATAAGTTATTTCGACATTTGACACATCAGCACAAAATGATTTTTTGCAATTTTAGTTATACTTCATTTTTGACAGAACTTTCTATAATGCTGTATAGGAACACCATTGATAGTTTCATGGGTGAATTTGCATTGAAAACATGTTTATTTTCAAAATTATAGGGGATGGCACTCTTGCCCCACCCGACCCTATCGGCTAATCCGGAAACAACGAGGTGCTTTATCGTTCTTGCGGATTTACCATAAGCTTACCAGTCACCCTGTATATATGAAGTATTTCCATCTTTAATAAATATTCGAAGTAGGCAATACAAACTGCCTTTTTAAATATTCAAAGAAGAGAGTATTCCCTTCTTAGTTAAATATTCGAACATGGGATTATTTCCTACTTTATGATATCTAGGAGGAAAAGGGTTAAGGAAGGGATTGTTTTCTTCTTTATTACACATATTTTTCCTTGATTTGTATTCCGTCGATCTTGTTTTCCGTATTTAAGTTTGAGAGTATTAATCTATATCCGTATTAAAGTTTGAAGTTCCTATCATAATGAAAACTCATGTTGATTTCAATTGTCGCGGCATAAGTCTGATGTTATATTTTGCTTCATTGTGCAATCAAAGGTTTTTTAAATGAATTAACTTCAAGTTTTGCTGTTAACATCTTTTCAACAAGATGTTTAATGAATTTATGATTCTATAACATTCCCCAGAAAAGATGATAAAATTAGTAATTTATCACTTTTTTTTGTCATTTGATATTATATTTCAGTTTTATATTACAGAACAGCCTAATATACATATTTTATTTATTACTTTTATGGAACTATGTATTTATCAATTCCCAACCATTTTATTGCTCTTTAGAAAATGACAACCTTCAAGTTTTCGAGCACTTCGTTCATCATTTAATAAGTCAAAGGGTCTATTATGCAATCCAATTCAACCAGTCGGAAACTGTTAAACCTTATCGAAAAATTGTTCAACCTGAGTTGAAGAATTTCTCGTGATGGATTAAAAAATCGGTACATGGAACGTTGAACTACCGATTACAAATTTACAACATTATTCCACACGATATCATCCCGAATGGGCATTATCCCGAATCCCTTGCGAAAAACATGGTTCATTCTGGAGAATGCTTTTCTGGGGAATGTTATAAAATCGAATTTATGTTCATCGGTCGTTGAACTAACGATTTTTTTTATTTGTTTAACAAATTTCAGGTCATTCGTGACTTGTCTGGGTGAGATTTGAACTCAACTCTTTCAGCGTGAGAAGCATCGATGCTAACCATTTACACCAGGCCTTTCAGTTTTTTTCAGTTAAATATTATGAATGCAAAATCAGTAATCAAATTGATTGTATTGAAAGCAGGATTAGTTTTCGGTTAGATTCAACGGTGTAACATAGTGCTCTCATAAATCATCCAAAATAAGTTACATTATAACAGCACATTTTTATTTCAATTTGATCTCCAAGCTTTGCTCGGGAATGCAGCAACCCGGCAAGCCCCTACACCTGGACCTTACATATAGACACATCAACCTATAAGACCAGGGAACAACGGCTTTAATTGCCGTGATCAGAAATGTATGCCTGAGATAGTCCCGGCGGCGCCGACTGGGATTGAACCCAGACCTTTTGGGGGTGAGAGCCAATCGCGCTTACCACTACACCACCGGCGCCGCTTTATTATACTTATTCGAAAAAGGGAATATTTCCTTCTATGTTACCTATATATTTAACGAAGGGAGTTTTCCCTTTTTGCTTCGAGGATGGGAATATTTCCCTCTTTATTAAATATTCAAAGTGTGAAATATTCCCATCTCTATTGATGAATTGCAACTAAACTTTTGGAATCGCCAACAAACCAATTCCAAGTGAGAACTAAGAAAATGATGATGTTTGGAAAATTTCTTTCAAAATACGGCCGTTATTACGAGGAAATTTTTGATTGTGTCCGGTAAGAAAACATCAATTCTAACCAATTGATAAATAGCGAAATGATTTCTTGTTTATTACACGAAATACATAAACCACTAAATGGTAAACCTTTTGCTCCTAAAATACCTTGATCCATTGAGTATTATTCATCTTCTTTTGAAATAATCGGAAGAAGAAAATTTTCGTCTTTAAACATGTCCCTTCTTTAGATCACGTGCTGTTCTCTCCACATCTATTAATTTCGGGGTAGTAGAATATTCGGGATAAAGTCATAGAATCTTCAAATACACTATGTTTACGGTATTGTTCTTTCAACGTTTATTAATTTCAGGGTATGACGTTCGGGGTAGTGAAATTCGAAGTAATGTTATAGAGTCCATCAACTTGACACCATATCAGGAGTGCATGACAAAAATGTGTTCAATGGATTTTTTATACCACTACTAAAAAAACTCAAAAACGCCTATTTTCACTTGTAATGAATTTGATGTTTATTCAACATTTCCAAACGCTTACATACAACTATATACGCTATGTTAAGGACAATAGGTTGACAAAATGGTTTTCTAAGTTGATATTGAATTATGCAGCATTGTCAAAATGGATCATAGTTTTACCGTGGAGGATTAAAAGTATCTTAGCTTGCAATTATGTTATCGAGAAGAACCAACCAATATGTTCAAGTTGTTTTTTTCCTGAAATATCGTACAACATGCAAGTATCTAACAGAGGAAACTTGCATTTAATGAATGTTTGATAATGTTTATCAATCATATTCAATATAATGTTTCCAGCTAAAGCATAGTCGACACACGAATTAGGTCACATTGGTGACTTGACTACATTTATGATGTATTAGATTTTCGCAATTTCAAGTTCACAAAAGGGAATAATCAAACGATATTGGAAGCTTTGTACAGCTCTATGAAATGGATGATAATGTTGATCGGGGAAAGCACAGCAATTGTAGTTTGTTTTGTCACATTCATAACATGCATTTTATGATCAATGATTTTCAAATCAACGTTGCTTTATCATTATTAAAGAAAAGAAAATAACCAAATTGAATTGCTGTTTTATTCTTCTTTAGAACTAAGAATTAACATAAAGTTTTTTTTTAAATCAATAGTTGTCTTTGACTGAAGCTAAATAAGATGAGAGGCTGAACCTCAACTAAAATGATTTGTATTTGTAACATAAACATGACGGAACTCAGATTATGTACTTATAATAACCAAGGTAAAGTAAAAATAAGCTTCAGCTTTGAAAATGGATAAATCATGAGCAAAAGCGATTACGGTAGATTCATTGTTGATTTAATAGGGATTATTACGCATTCGTACTCTACCTCGGTTGTTATGTACTATTGAGTTATATGAAGGAACGAAGAGAGCGGCCTTAGCTCGTCCATGATCCTCTGCCACTCGGACAATCAGCGGTTGAGTACCACCTTGTGGTATTACATTATTCAACGCCGATATCGCCTCCTGGGCTTCTTCTCTCTTGTTGAATCTTTAAAAAAAAAAACAAAAAAAAATGTAAGACGGAAATTGCTATCTATATGTATTAAGTCTTTTAACTGACCTAACGAACGCTACCCCTCTCGGATGACCAGTCAGTTTATCTCTCAAGATGTTCTTTTGTACTATGGTACCGTATTTACCAAAAATAATATCTAACTGCTCGTCAGTTATGGTTCGTGGAAGATTTGTGATATAAAGATTTGTTTCCTTGATGTCATCGCTTTGTGGCCTTGCATATGAAACCTTGATTCGCTTGTTTCGAACAGAGTAACCATTCAAACATCTTATAGCACGCTGTGCCGCATCCTCGGATAGAAAGTTGACAAAACCGAATCCGTAACTATAACCAGTCTGCTAGAACAATTAATAAGATAGTTGTTGTTTAACCATTAGTATGCTTCTCAAAAATCATAGTTGAGTTACTCGGAACAAATCTTAAGACATGCACACAGAAAAAAAATAAGCCACATATTGATCGGTGACATATGCTTTATATTACCGGGGGGAAATCTCATCACTGATGAGTCCAGCCATCTTAAGTTTCTAAATGATAGACAATAGAAAACAATAGACTATAATTCACTAAAAAAAGTAAAAATGTTTCAACGGCTATTTGTTACAAATCTAATAGTTTAAGTTGTTTTCTAATTCAGTAATCCACAAACACTTCCCCGCAATAAATACTGGGAAAATGCGTAACAATATTGATAAAACTAATTTTAACAATTCTTAAAGTTTTTCATTAGATACAAGTTTTGAAGGCCCACGCATAGTGCACGTTGAATTAACCAATAAACTCAATCAGAGGTACATGGCCTTTAATATTACTCAATAGCTGAGTAAAATAGTATACTGCCGCTCATCGCAAGTCGGTCCCATTTGCGTTTTGGTCAAAACTAAGTTTTCCAATGCAACTAGTAACTAGTCATATTTTCATAATACTGGATAAACTCAACAACTTTGTTCTGGAAAAGTTTGGAAAACAGAAAAATAGGCTGTTCCATCGCATTAGAAGCAATTTTACGAAGCAAACTCAAAATGCAGTTTTCTCGGCTTGCTGATTTGTGCTATGGGACGGACTTGCCATTGTTATAAAATCTAGGGTTACCCCAGTTTTTATGACATGAGCAGTGGTGCATGAAAGAGTTCACGTCCTCCCCCAGAGCCTTAAGACAAGATATTGATATATGAATAAATGAATATGCAAGGGTATATTTTAACAAGATTTATGAAACTGACCCACTCTGCTGGATATTGATAACAAAAGGCACTCTAGGTCAATTTTGATAATAGCTTATGTCAGTGGCGTCCCGTAACTCACTTTTTACCTGTGCACCAACCAGATTTAATGTCGTACTCGAATCGGTTGAAAAATACAGTTGTAAATTTCAACCAAACTATGTAAATTTCAAAATCCGCAAAAAAAAGAAAACAGATAAGTAAAAAATAAATAAAACCGTAAATTTAAAACTCCACTTTAAACAGCAATCGGCTACAATGAAAATGAACAAAAAATCAAACAAATTGTAACTGCGTATTCACAATAAAATAAGGATTATTGAAAATTATTTGAATTAAAATTCCTGTTTACTTCGCCACCAATATTTAACAATTTAGCTACGATCGTGGAAGTATCTCGAAACGAATATGCAAACATATTAGAAAAAGATTAAATTCGTATGAAAAATGTCCACCTCCCATTTGCAAAGGGAAAAATGGTCATATAATCCATTTCATTTTTAGCTCCAATTTTGCAAAGGGAAAACTTCATATGAATAATAAATAGGGGAAATGGATGTTATGTTGGCCTATGGATTTAAGATTGGGCCCATCGCTAAAAACCTGCAATTTATCAATTTTATCTAGATGAACCATTGGAACGGCACTAATGGATTTTTTGGTCGCTATTGAAAAGGGCATTTAGGCCGACATTACATCCATTTCCCCTATATATATATATATTTCCTTGATATACTTCTTTCCTTTATTTAACGTCGGTCTCTGTTCCGCAATCTAGTGCCAATCACCGACGGACATCGATTGCCATCCATTGACGGCAATCGAATGTGCAGGAAGGCAGCTTCCACACCTGCGTAGGATATCGCACCCATTCAACACACATGGGCCGGGACCAACGGCTTTACTTCCCTTCCGAAGGAAGACGTGACCAGAGATTTTTATGCCTCAGAAAAATCCCACCGACCTCGGCTGGGATTGAACCCAGACCCAGGTGTTAGAAAGCAGTCACGCTTACCACTACACCACCGACGCCGGCTATTTCCTTGATATAATTTTCGTCGAATTTGTTTTCCGTACTGAGTACGAATGCTACCGACGCCATGAAGGCACCTCCCACACCTAGACCCTACCTATCGACCCATCAAACTCATGGTCCGGGGACCAACGGCTTTACTAAGTGAACATTTCAAATGGTCCTATCTGCTTTGATCGATTCTCTTCATCGACAACAATACATCGATGTTGACAATTTTTCTGTTTCACATCATCAATATTATTGTCAATATTTCCCCTTGATACGTGTGGTGTTTGCTTTAGATGTTTCGGTGTAACAATCTAGAAATAAACGTGCGGTTTTTGTTAACTCAACAATAAAATCTGGTAGCCCTGAGTCAACAAAGGAAAATTCTGAATTTATGCACGCGAGGATTTTTTTTTGCTTTTTTCTACACCGTGTTATTTGAATGGGAGCTGGCTGCCCGTACCTAAGTCGTACACATAACGGTTAAAAAGTGTTTCTTTGCGTTATAGTACGTTCAGACTACAGAGTTATAACATGTTATAGCGCTATCATGATGGTGGTTTCTGTGTTGTAATTATTAGACAACCGTTATAACATGTTATAACTGCTCAGTCTGGACAGCGTTTTAGATGGATAATCTGTAAATCTAATATGATGCACAAGAAAAAAGATAAAACGTGAATAATTGGCATAAAGTTACTTACCTTCATGTCTCTCATGATTCGACAGCTCTCAATTGGGCCCATGGTTGAAAACATCGAATACATTTCACGTTCAGACATGTCCTGTGGCAGATAATTGACGATCAGATTCGTCCCAGAGAAGTTGCTGCTACCAGGGCCGAAATTCATTCCGGACAGTGAACTTGTGCTCGAAGACGATGTATGTGGTGCATTGCCACCGAACGTGCTACTCGAAGGCATGTCGTACATTCGAGGTCGTGACGAATAGGAGAAATCTGAATCCTGTCCATATGCATAATTCGACTAAAAAATTTCAAGCAATTTGAACTTGGTAGTTTAACATCAGGGACTAGAGTAAAGACGGATACTGGCTAAAGCAACTTCAGTACACATTTTTATCTGATTTTACAAAGCAGGGTTTCGTTTAATATATTTGGCTGTTATTGCTGTGTTTTGTATGTATCTAGAGTTTTGTAAGTATGATTTAGACAGAGCATGAGAGAAATGGAGACCAATGAATTCAAAAATAATGATACAGAAAGAAGTGAAAATGTGTAGCAGAACTTGTGTATATAACTTGTTTCGATAGTAAATAAAAGGAAGATAGAAGAAAAATATTTGGAAGATCTCATTTATGCTAACATTCCTTTTATTTTATGCGGTGGGTATTATCTTTTTTTTTTCATTATTGAAATTGGTTCGAACGTTACAATAGCGCAAAACAATGACGTCTTTAAGCGATTTTATATCGATTATTGGCTGAACGTGTTTTTTTCTCTCCCATTTGTATCAATTCATACTTTCTCTTTTAGCGTATATTCACCATAATAGACAGACGGGATACAGCATCACCGTGAATAGGCAGCAAGCGTATGGCAGTGACCATCAGGATACAAACCGGCACCGCAGAATTGTTTCCATTTACAAGATTTAAGGATTCGCTTCAGAAACTCTAAAGCCTCGACGACATCATAATTGGCAGTGCGTTTGTACGACGAGAGAAAGGAACCTCTCCATGAGTAGAAAAAATCTGCTATCGAACACATACATCTTATCTATATGTGGCATCATAGCGATATAAGAAGGATGTACAAATGAAATGTGTTTCGTATAATCCACGCCGCCAAATAATATGTTTGGAGGGCTTAGGCTTAGGCTGACCAATCTAGTTAGTTGTCATCAAAAATTAATCTAAATTTCACGACACCACAATAATAAATATTATTATTAACTGTAATTAATTCCAACTAATTATCCGTCAACGTCAAGCGACCGTTACCGTCTCAGTCGAGGATTTGTTCGGATTGGAAATTTAAAAGCTCTCAATAGTATAGTATTTAAGGTACTGAGAACAAAACTATATTAGTTCCCGCAGAAACGTAATGATTTAGAAAAAAATAGAGTGAAGGGTGTGAGCTATCCCCTAACCAATGCTCTTGAAGGCTACAAATCGAAGCATCTCTCTCTCTAGACACCACGACGCTAAGCACAAAATCCCTCTGGAATTGTATCTGAATGCAGATCAAGCAAGCATGGTGCGTCATCATCTGGCAGGCACGGAGTCTTGTTTGGCTGGCACTACAGTACATAATTCAACCAACTACGTCGCTCTGTCTTTTGGCAATGCGTAAAAGTAGTACGAATTAAAGTGCCATATGCATTGATTTCCTCGTACCTTTGCTTCAGATTTCATAATTTGGTTTCAAACCGGGCAAGATATAGCACGTTACATACACGTGTCATATGGATATTGCAAGCGAAAGTTTCTTCTTACCATTCACGTCTGTTGGCATAGTGAAGGGACATACTTAGCCATTCGTCCCTAATTGACATAGTAACGATGTTATGCATTTAAATCATTCAAGAGATGAACTAGCCTATGGCTAAACATCTCTTTTAAAAAGATAAAAAAAAAAAATCATTATTTATATGTAGGGTAAGGTGGGGCACAGATTGGTTATCTATTTGATTTATTTATTGTTGATATTGACAAACAAATAAACTAATAAATGTACTAGCTGACCAATCGTGCACAACCTTAACATGTTGACTTGTTCCCCGAACAAATTGCACTACACTTTCTTTTAGCGGTGGAAACTATTGTTTCCAGATCAGCTCAAGCTGGAATATTTATTTCTTGTTTAGTGTGTGCACGTTTTTACTAATTAAGGTAGATCAACTTACAATTTAGTGTAGGCTTCGTAGTTTTAGATTATATCCAATTTGATTTCCACTAGTAGGGTATAGTTTAAGATTTAGCAACTAATTAAGTTCGAACGCTACGAGAATCCGTACAATCACCATGATTGAATAATTGCCTGTTTGGATCAATTTTAGGTTAAGTTCAGCATAGAAATAGAATAATCAATTTATAGCTTACGTTTAGAGATTAGGTAGTTCTGTATGTAAATAATAACTAGTATTAGGAATTCATTTGTTGAATAATTAATTTTAACAAATTTTAGAGGTATTTTTCCAATTAAATTAACGTTTTTGTATATGAGACACCAGTCCAGCAGTGAATCCACTTCAGTTCGCCATTCACACGAGTTTTTTTCCTTTTCCTCCTATTACCTGTCATTCGTCACTCCTGTCATCGGCCGCCACTGTCAAGGTTCACCGGTGCTATCGGTTAGATGACCAGCGTTGCTAGTTAGCGTAGCAACATTCTCGCCCCCGTAACACTGCGTATCAGGAGTAGTTTTACCTGTATCGTTGACGTCCAACACGGCCAGGTTGCTGACTGGTCTTCGTAAGAATCCTGAGCTCGTCTGAACGGTGGCTCGTCGTATCCGGCCGTCGGGTCCCGGCTGCACTTCCACTATTCGCCCCCGTATCCAGTTGTTCCGTTTGCAGCTATCCGCAATGACCACTAGGTCTCCTACTTCTATTTGCTTCGTATCGCTGAACCATTTCGTCCGTCTACAAATCGTTGGTAGATACTCTCTCAGCCAACGACGCCAGAAGATGTCTAACTGATGTCGGATCTGCTTCCAGCTGCTTACGACTGCCTCCCGGTGATTTGTGGGATTTGCGACTGGTTGCTTGACCCCACTGGAGCTCCCAAGCAGAAAGTGATTTGGCGTTAGGGCTTCTTGCTCTTCTGACTCCACAGGCAGATAGGTTAACGGTCTAGAATTGACCATACTTTCCGCTTCGACTAGCAATGTTTGGAATCCTTCGTCGTCAAGCTTTCTTCCGGTGTCGATACTTTCTATGGCGGATTTTATAGAGCGGACCATCCTCTCCCAAGATCCACCCATATGTGGAGCTGAGGGTGGGTTGAACAACCATTTGGTATTGGCATTGGTAAATGTTTCTGACAGGCCGTTGCAGATCTGTTCTCTAAGCACTCTCTCAGCACCTTGGAAGTTGGTGCCGTTGTCGCTGTACACTTCCAAGGGGGCTCCACGCCGCCCGACGAATCGGCGAAAGCACGTTATGCAGCTCTCCGTGGTCAGGCTATGCGCAACTTCGAGGTGAACTGCGCGAGTCGTCAGACACGTAAACAATGACACCCAGCGCTTTGCGTGGGTGCGCCCAATCTTCACGAGCATTGGGCCGAAATAGTCCACTCCAACATGTGAGAAAGGACGTTCAAAAGATGCTAATCTGGCGAACGGCAGAGGTGCCATTTTCGGTGTTGTCGGTTTTGATCTGTAGACCTTACACTTTTGGCAAAGTTGTGAAGTCTTCCGTACGGCTGCCCGAAGATGAGAAATATAGAAATTCTGTCTTACCTCATTCACCACCGTCTCAGGATTCGCATGATGGTTTCTACGGTGATAGTGATCCAGAATCAGAGTTGTCATTCGGTGTGACTTCGGTAAGATTATCGGAAACTTTGCATTGAAGCCTGTGTTTTCTGCTGCTCCAATCCGTCCATCCTGCCTTAGAACTCCACACTCATCGATGTATGGAGACAGCTTATAGATTGGTGATGATTTGTCGACATTTTTCTTACCCGCCTTCAGTTGGGCGATCTCGTCCGGATAACTCTCCTCCTGACAGCAATGCCAAAGAATGTTTTCCGCTCTTCGAATTTCGTCAGAGTTCAACGGCGCTATGTCTCGCTGCCCTCTACTTCGTCGAGCATTTCGGATGAACCGGAGTGTGTAACCCATTGCTCGGAGAAGACGCATCCATCGAGAGAATCGTTCAAATTTCACTAGAGGCTCCAACGTCGAGCCTCCATGTACAAAACACGGCCGAAGTTCCTCCTCTGTACAGACCTTCTGCTTGAAATTCTGTTCTGGCCACTGCTCCTCAGGATGGTAGAGAAACTCTGGGCCCCGGAACCACTTCCCTTCCGTCGATAAGCAGGGTCCGGTTCCCCACTTCGTTGCCTCGTCGGCGCTGTTCATCTTGGTAGGCACCCATCTCCATTCGCTGCTTTCTGATAGCGTGAGAATCTCCCCGATGCGGCACGCTACATATTGTCGGTATCTTCGGGCGTCTGACCGAATCCAGGCTAAGACGGTGCTAGAGTCTGACCAGAAAATCCTTTTTTCGGCGGATCGAGTATGGGTATCTTTGACGAACGATGCAAGTCGAACCCCAAGGACTGCCGCTTGTAGTTCCAAGCGAGGTATAGATAGTGGCTTAAGAGGCGCCACTTTCGTCTTCGCCGATATTAGGCTGCAGATCATGGTCCCATTGACCAGAATGAAACGAAAATAAGTCGCTGCGCTGTACGCTTCTTCGCTGGCGTCTACAAATACGTGCAGCTCGACGGAACGCAGTGATGTAGAAGCAGTTGAACCAACGTAACAACGAGGAATGCGAATATTATCGACCTGCTTCAAGATTCCGATCCATTTCAGCCAACGGTTGAATGCTTCCTCTCCGATTTCCTCATCCCAGTCCGATCCCGAGCGCCATATCGATTGGATCAAGATCTTTCCGTGCACTGTGTACACGGCCAGCAAGTCCAGGGGGTCAAACAATGACATGACACACCGAAGAACTTGGCGCTTGGTCGGTCGTCGGCCTTCATCGATAATCGCAGCAATATCTTTTCGCATTTGAGTTGAGAATCCCAGTACATCCTCTATTGGGAGCCACAACATACCAAGAACTCTTTCTACTCCTTCGGTTTTATCCAGGTTCAGGTCCTTCACTTCCGAAGCCACCGTTTCACCTAGATGTCTGAGCACATCGTGGGAATTGGAGTGCCAACCTCGAATTTCGAAACCACCCTTTCCGTGGATCATTTTCACCTCTGCTGCCACTCGTTGAACTTCTTCGATGGTGTCGAAGCTGTCCAAGTAGTCGTCCACGTAATGACACTTGATTATCGCCTC